GGGGCGCGCGCGCGCAGCAGGGCGGGCGGCGGGAGGGGGGTGGGGGGGCCGGCCTGGCCAACCCGGGCCGGGGGGCACACCGCCGCCGCCTGCGCGCGCAGCTCGAGCCGGGGGAGCGGCCGGCGCGCATGCGTCCTCCTCTGCGGGTCGGGAAGGGGGCGGGGCAGGGGCGGAAGCGTTGCGCGCACGCGCGGGCTGTTGGCCTCGGCTCGCTGGGTCTCTTTGGTGCGCCTGCGCGCCTTTGAAAGCAAATCGAAGGGGGAAGGGGGCCAGAGCCGGGGCAGGTTCAGTCGCGGGCGCCTCCTGGTGGACGGGTGGAGAGGGAGGGGTCCACGGTGCCCCCGCCTCGTATGGGGCAAGCGAGGCCTCTGAGGAAGGAGGGTCGGCGGCCCGCGGAGGAGCCTTGGCCATGCTGGGCCGCCCGGGCGGTGAGAGCAGGGTGCCGGGGGCTGGGGAGCGGGATCCACCGCCCTTCCTGGGCCTGCTCGAAGCCGCCTGGGTATAATGGGGGAGACCCTGGCTCTTGGACCCGGCCTCCAACGTGCTCTGATCAGGGGCTCGGGGTTCCCTAAACCCTCCCCTCCCCCCCCTTTGTTAGTGGAGGCTTTTAGCGGGCGGGAAGCCTGGTGAACCTGAGGTCCGAATCTGGTGTCTGGTCGCTATGAGGTCTGGGAGTTAGTAGTGACCCGGTGCTTAAGTTTGGGGTCCCCTGAGGTCCTCTCCACCTTTTTCGTTACTTGTGGAAGATGGAGATCCGTGTCTTTGGGCCGGATTGGCCATCCCTTGGCTCGATGTCCAGTTGTACACTTGCAGATTCATAGGTTTTGTTTGGGTCTAACGAGCCACGTTTGCCCTCAGATTTCCCAAATAAGAAGAGGAAGAGGAGCCGATGGAACCAGGATACAATGGAACAGAAGACAGTGATTCCAGGAATGCCAACCGTCATCCCCCCTGGACTTACAAGGGAACAGGAAAGAGCTTATATAGGTAAATACACGTTCTGCATGCAGATGTATTGGATCATGTTATAGTTCATCTGAGAAATGTCACTGACTGCTGAATGAAGTGTTCAAAGTTGACATTTTCAGAATTTTTAAGATTTGGGCTATCGTCAGGTGTGATTGCTTAACATTTTAACTCACCAGTTTTTGCCTAATGAGTACTGCATTGTGCAGCCCTGTCCTGCTCTGTTCATGACAGCAGTGGTCTCCACGGGTGCCAGGAAGGTGTGTTCATAGGGGGTGGTAGAATCCCTGGGACTTAGAATGAGATTAGTCCCACCCGAATATTCCCTCAGAACAACTGATTAGTTAACTTAATGAGATGGGGGGAAGGGAGGGAATCAGGCCCTTAAGTCAGGAGTTTCAGGGGACCCCAATGAGCAGGCGCTTATGGAAACAAGTGACCCTTCCTTTCCCCAAGAAGTATGGCTTCTTCCACAGTGGAACCGTGGTGTGGCCTGAGAAGGGCGGAAAAAACTGGAAGAGCTGAATTTAATGTCATAGATGCTTAGGAGAAAATTTGGTGATGGTTTATCTTTCCCTTCAGCATCTGTTCTGGTCTCTGGAACTGTTTTAAACAGAGGCTCTTTGTATTCGCTCCCAGAGAACTTTGCTGGGAAAGGGATACTGCTTGGGAATGGAGCTGAGGGTGGGTAGTTGAAAATATCTAACGTTACATGGGGAGACAGGACATGTCGAATGTTAAAAGAATTATCTCTGTATTGGGAATATCTACCACATTGCAGTTGAAGTTAACCTCAAAATGACCTGTCTTATTTTTTTGATACAAGGTTTTAATGCAGGAATTTATCTTTATTTGCAAACTTGTGCAGGTGTCTAAAAAAGTCAATTTAAACAGTTCATTTTCCATTAAGGAGGCTGTGTAAATTCCTCCTCAGGCTCCTGAGGCTGTGGCCTTAAACAAATCCAGAGGCCTCTTCAAGGCAGGCAGCAAAGGTGTTTTCCTGGGTCAGTGCCACGGATTTCTTTTTCTGCCTTTGTGAACCTGAGAATTTTGGCCTCTTTTCTGGGTGGCCAGAGGCTCCATAGGTGCAGATGACTCCGGATGCAGGCCTTCTGATTGGCCTTCCTTACCCTGGAAAGCCTGCCCTCTAGCGGAGAGTTGCTCTGGGAAACTACCAAACTTAGAAGAGGCGAGAGACACGCTTATCCCTTGGAAAGCAGCCCAGTGCTATCGACTCCTTTGTACCTCAGGTCTCTGTGTTAATGGACAAAGCCCCAGAGTTATTTACAGCAACAATCAGTGTAGAGTCAAAGGGCAAGCCAGGGTAGAACTTAGCTAACTCCAAACCACAAGACTTGAGACACAACCAACCACTGGTAGAGGGAATTGCATTAAAGTCATTAGTGTGTTGGGCTTTTATCCAGAAGCCCAAGGGAAACTGTGTCTCTGAAGTCTTCCATACCCATATTTCAGTAAGTAAATTGTAATCATGAAGGTGAATCTCACCTTGGGCTGCTGAACCTGGGCTGTTTTGACTTCATGGGTTTTATATGGCATAAGAGAAGAGACTAGATACCTTCAGTTGGAAGTACATTAAGTCCCATTCGATTACAAGCTTGGTAGGCCATTGCTCCTGGTTGTAGGTTTGCCTCACAATCGAAACTCATTTGGTTTAAAGGTAAGAAGTAGGTGATTATTCAAACACCTTTGGGGATAATGGTCTTATGTCCCTGGGCACTACAGGTCTCATTATCTCTGAAATCAAGTAATGATGCTCAGGGACACTGGTAGATTATTATCATTATTATCATTATTATTATTATTATTATTATCATTACTACGATTGTGAAACCCTCACCTTCCTTTCTTCTATACAGCCTCAAATGTCGAGAACCAAGGTGGGGGGTCACATGTTACTCCCTTTTGCCCTTTGTGCCTGTCCCCCTAAAATCTTTGTGGTAAAAAAACAAAACCAAAAACAATTCTTGCATCTGTGGTTATTGGTTTATTTATGTACATTGCTTGTAATCTAACACTTGAATAGCAGGTATATTAGCATCTATATCTCATATGGATGGGCCTGATAGTGTGAAATAGGATGGATGTGAATTTCTGTATTGTAAGGTGTTGGAAGTGATAACCAGATTATCTTAAGGGGGTTGGGAAGGAGAATCAGTATGCCCAGTAGCATGATCCACATTGGAAAGGAAATGATCTTAGGTTAACTGGTATCACTTTAGTATTAATTCTGTCCTGTATTAATTAGTCCTCGGCACAGACCACGTTAACTTGTTTTAATGGAAAAAAAGAAAGAAAAAAGACTTTTGGCCCTGATGAGGCTAATTTGGTGGGGCAGGGGTATTGCTGATATCCATGATTTATTTCTGTTAGCAAACTTTTGGGACAGGTAGAGCAGAAACATCTCACCTCCCCACAAATTGTTTTGTTGTCAGCCTTAGTCATCAGGCAGCCTTTATTGCTAACCCCTCTTCCAACAAACTGTTTGCTTCCCAATTAATAACCTTCTCTGAAGAGAAAAATACCTAGAGATATAAACGGACTCCTGCCGAAGTATATGATTGGTAGGTGGTTGGGGGTTTTCCTCAGTTTGTTCCCTGGTCAGTCATCCCTTTCAAAGTCTCCAAGTTCTTCATGCTTTGATGTTGAGATTTGAGATGTTTTTTGGTAACATTGTCTTTTTTCCATCCTTTTTTTCTTTCCTAACCTGGTTTCTTCCAGTGCAACTGCAGATAGAAGACCTGACTCGCAAACTGCGCACAGGAGACCTGGGCATCCCCCCTAACCCTGAGGACAGGTTGGGAAACAGTTTTAACCAGCTGACAGTAACGCTTTTACCTTTTTCTCAATACATTTTTGGTGGCAACATAATGTGTCAGTTCAATACAATCCTGATAAGATGCCTTTGGTACTCTGACTCTTTGGGGAACTAAGATTTAAACACAATTCTATATAACAATATATTTGAGCAGTTAACAGTTAGAAATTTGGAATGAAACTTAATTTTTAGCAAAACCAAAAGTCTACAGGAAATGGACAACTGGTTTCCAATTGGTAAGCGTGTAGATTTGAACCTGATACTGGTGCAGGGCAAGTCAGGTGGCCAGTTAACTGACCTTTCAGAGCCTGCTTTGGCCATGAGCCCGTGTAGCATCTTCCTCACAGGTACACACGATGCAGGATTAAGAACACATTTTTTTGTGCATCATTGAGGTTGAAGCAGCCCAGAAACTTAATCTGGGTAGCTGATAACGCCAGTTTTCTGCTCATGGTTTTGAGATGGTTTTAAAGTCAGATGAGATTTCTAACCAACTTCCTTCACTGCCAGCTAATAATATTGCAGCTTTGGCCAATGCCTGGGGGTGTTGGGAGGAGGGCCTAGGGTTTCTCATCTGTTTGGGGTGAAGTACAGCCCTAAAGCCTTTTTTGAAGGGGGAGATGGGGCCCTCCAAAACCAGCTGTGGTCACATTGGTCTTTCAGCTCACAGTCTCGGACCGTTGCTCTGAGGGGACTTCACTTTTTTAACCAGTTGTTTTATTGGCTTGTGGATCTTGGAATAGCTGCGATCTGGTTGTCTAAGAGGAGGGCAAGAATCCCTCCATTTACATTCGATTTTCGGTTAGAGCATGCAGCACAATTGAGCTCATTTTGCTTTAAAACTCGAGTTTTGTGTCTAATTTGTTTTTGGCTTTCATTACCTAATTAATGGTGCATTAAATCAGGAAGATGATGTAATGGGCCGCAGGCCACTCACTCATACATCTTTCTGCTGCCCCTTCTTTGCCAGGAAACAAATTAACTTCCTTCCTTCTCCACACTGACCCCTTAGTTTTACTTATCCCATTACATTTCATTAATTTTTCACTTGCAGAGTTTTGTCGTGGGTTTGGGCTGTTTTTTCCTTTTTTATTTATTTATTTTTTTGGAGGGTTGCGTATTCTAGGTTACAGACCACAACTGTAGAGTGCCCTTTTGGCTTTTTTCCCTTAATGTGTTTACAGGTTACTAAACCAATCTCTAAAAGGTGAATTTTTAACAAACCTGTTGCTCCTTGGAGGAATTGGGATTAGAGTTTAGTTTTACTATTATGGAGGTGAAGAAGTTAAACCAATCTAACCACTAGGAAACTAGCTTTTGTTTTTCCGTGATCATGGGAAGGGGTGAAATTGTTGTGAAGGCAGTTTGGTGTGAGGGCTGGAAACCCAGACTTTGTCCACAAATCAGTGAGCCAGAGATGCCCATTCCCTGATAGAAGCACGGGTGGGAATCTGGCCAGGGTTGTCTGATCTTCTAAATGCAAGCCTGGGATTAGAAATCAAACCTGAGCACAGCCGAGTTTTTCCTTCCCCACCCATTCCTATGGAGAGAGTCCGTTTGGCCAAGGTTGGAGGCAAATGCACGAACCAGTTTCCTATCTCACTAAACATTGCTTAAGAAGGTTTAACCTTGAAATTGAGCCACTTAATGCAATTTCATTGCTGTTTACCTTGCCCAGTTTAAACCGTTAATGAGCCTCTTGTAGCTTACACGTTACACCTTACGATGGGGTAGTAGAATGGCAATGGGGGAGTCTTGTTTGCTGGTGACTTCTTGGATCGTGCTAGAAACGGAGGTGTCCTTAGTCGTCATTAGTCATGAACAAACCTGACCTTTTATTCTACCGTGTGTCTAACAAACATGTGGCGTGACATGGTTCCTTTAGGCTGAGAAGACAGTGGGAGCAGCCGCTTTCAGTCCTTGCTCTCCAGCTAGGCAAGGCGAGGGCCTCTCATCTCAAACCAAGGCTACTCCAGGATGGTTTTTGATAACCTGATCCATATGCTCTCTTCCCTTCTTGCAGCTACTACTAAATTGTCATTCACAATGTCAAGCTCTGGTCCTTTTTATAACCATACTCAAAATTCTAGGAGTGTAACCTCTTTTTTTTATCACTGCAAAAACAGCTGTGGTAAACTGACCTTTTTATAATTGGTATTTTTTTACTTGTAGCAACAGCATTTTACTCTTTAAAAAAGAGAACGAATCTGCTTTGCTTTCTGGGCTTGTAAACCCTGGGGTAGAGCAAGATGGTCTTTCCCCACCCTTACTGTTTGCAGGCTCAGACCCTAGGCAGGTGTTTGACCAAATCTGCATTCGCAGCCTCTTTTAGAAGCTGCATTACCATTTTAACGATTTTCTTTACTCAGACTCCCCAACCTCTAACCCTTAAAACAGCCAGAAAACAGGTTGACTCGTGGGCCTTTGGTGCAGCCTGCCAGGACATTGATGGAAAAGCAGACGCGAAGCCTTGAACCATCTCTCTCCATTGTGGCAGCCACGTAGCTGCGGTAGCCTTGAGTCCCAGTTAGACTGGATCAAAGATTTAATCCTAATGAAAGCTTACATTACCGAATAATAAATAGTGCTGTTTGGGGGGTACAGGCATTCTCTCCCTGATAGAGCACAAGGTCTCTAAGAATATCTAAATTTTGGCTTCATGGCTCATTGCGTTGTAGAGGACATTCATGCCGATTCAAGTTTTTTCTCAATTTAACAAGCACCATGAGTTATACTCTTCCCACCACCCCCACCCCCAAGGATGAGAGTGTGGCCGAGATCCACAATTATTCTTACTGCCCCCAGCATTCCCACCAAGGATAGCATCCATTTTTTCCTTTCGTCCCCTTTCCTTTTCTCCCGCTTTCCCACCCCCCAGTGTTGTAAGCCAGCTTACGCCTCCCCATTGCACACTATATTGAATAGCACACGTTATGGTCGGTTCCTCCGAAGAGAGTGGCATTTAGGGTCTGAGAGGTAGGGGGGTCCAGGGGAGGACTTATTATAGTCCTGGTGGGACAGGCAGAGGAGTGGAGAGTCTGACGCCGTGCTGTTTCCCACAGGTCCCCTTCCCCTGAGCCCATTTACAATAGCGAGGGGAAGCGACTCAACACGAGGGAATTTCGGACCCGGAAGAAGCTGGAAGAAGAAAGACACAACCTCATCACTGAGATGGTGGCACTCAACCCTGACTTCAAACCACCTGCAGATTACAAGTGAGGGAGGGCTGAGTTAGAACCTCGAGTGGAATAGCTCAGGACCGAAGCAGTTGGTCCCATTTTCCTTGGCTTTCCCTGTCTATCTAAAGTGGGAGGATTGTAGACAAGCTCTTCTGGTTCTTGACCTTGGCTGTCTCTTAGGATAGCTAATTGAGGGCATTGGGGGAGAGGTGTTGGGACCCTGAGAATGTGGTCTTGAGAATGTGTTGTCTTGTGTAGACCTCCAGCAACCCGGGTAAGCGACAAGGTGATGATACCACAAGATGAATATCCAGAAATCAACTTTGTGGGACTTCTCATTGGGCCCAGGTGAGTGCTGCCTCAGGAGAGAGGAGCCATGCGGACTGGGGGCCAGCACTTTGGGGCTTGTCACAGGCTGCTTTTCCTTCTAGGTTTTTTGTAGGGAAAAGCACTTGAGCTGGTCTATAGCTTCCCCATTTTACCACAGAGAAATCAAATCCTCTGTGACCAGCTGCTTGACCGGAGGCCACGTGGGTGGATGGGGGGGGCGGGGTCCAGTTCTAGATTAGCATTTCCTCATGAACTCTGCCTAGCCTGGTCTTTGGTGCCCACCCTTTCTTTCTGACAGGACTGTGATGATTATTAACCCTCTCTTCTTTGTGTGTGCCTCACAGGGGCAACACCTTGAAGAATATTGAAAAGGAGTGCAATGCCAAGATAATGATCCGGGGGAAGGGGTCCGTGAAGGAGGGCAAGGTTGGGCGCAAGGACGGGCAGATGCTGCCAGGGGAAGATGAGCCCCTGCATGCCCTAGTCACTGCCAACACCATGGAGAATGTCAAAAAGGCAGTAGAGCAGGTGAGTGAATATGGGCAAGGTTTTATAACCTCCTTTTTAAAAATCGCTGACTTGTCCTCACATCGCCTTTGTCTGTCGGTACCTGTGCCCAGAGAACCATTGCTTCTAACAAACGGGAAGGGGGGAAGGGGGGAAGGTGGTTCAGGTAACTAGTAGTAGATAGCGTTCCATACCTAGAGTCCCCTATCTCAGCAGAGAAGGGAGGAAGGACCATTTTCGTATCTTTGGGGCAGGGCCAAGCTGACCATCTTAATTACACGTATTTTCAGGTTGGCCTTTTTTTTTTCCATCTTTACATTTGCAGTGTAGACATGTTTTCAGTGCATAAGTTCATAGAAGTCACTTTTTATGCTTCTTTGTGTCCTTACTCTCTATCTTAAAGCTTAGTGATATTCCCAGACATTGATATTATAACTGTAGTTTATTTGACTGTTCCTCACTTAATGGGTGTATTTTTTTCCCAGTTTTTTATTATTACAAAAATTCTCTATTTGGAGATCCAGGAGTTCACTTGACCTGTTCCATTTACCCCTGGACCTCTGTAACTTCCTAGATTCGGAACATCCTGAAACAGGGCATTGAAACCCCAGAGGACCAGAATGACCTGCGGAAGATGCAGCTTCGGGAGTTAGCCCGCTTGAATGGGACTCTGCGGGAGGATGACAACAGGTACTTACTTGGGAGAGGTTTGAGAACTTGTGGAGGAAAGGGGTGGGGGGGGGGGTGGAAATAGAGCTTGGCCCTTGAGTGGACTCTTCTTTCTTGGTCTTGGCAGGATTTTAAGACCATGGCAGAGCTCAGAGACCCGAAGCATCACAAATACCACCGTCTGCACCAAATGTGGAGGGGCCGGCCACATTGCTTCAGATTGCAAATTCCAAAGGTGGGGCGCTGCCGAGAGTGTGCTCACCGGATTAGTACGACGACAACAGTAGCGTTTACCTAGCGCCTGCTCTCCATGCCAGGCACTGTGATTTGTCCAGACAGATAGGATCTCAGCTGATCCTCATAACTGCTCTGAAAGGCGGCTGCTTCTCTCATCCCCATTTCACAGTTGAGAAGACAAACAGGATGACCCCCTTGCCTAGGGGAACATAGCTGCGTGTCCCGAGGTGCCCCGTGCCCCTCACTTGCCCTTCGTATATCAAAAGTAGAGGCAGTTTAAACTGAACTCAAGCCAAGGTTGAGCTTGATCAGCTGAGTGAAGCAGGCCTTCGTACCATCCTGTATGTGAGCAAGCTCGAGTGCTGGGAGCACCCAGCGGGGGTGGATATCTGGGGGAAAGTCGCATCCCTTCTAGTCATTTCTTTGGCCCCAGGAACTGGTCCTTTTTGGAGATTGGGTGTTGGCATTGGTTCCAAGATGTACCGATGGCAGCTTAGAGACAAGTTTGTGGCGACCAGAAGTTTTAAACTGATGATAGATGAGCCATCTGAGATGGCAAAACACTCTTGAGCTTGAGAGTTTTACTGAAGATTGTTAATAACATTTACTTTCTAGATTTTCTTTTCTCCGGCAGTTAATTCAGAATTCGGGGGGCCCCCACTTTCCCAAAACATGCATAAGATCATTCTCTTCTAGTGCCCTCTGTTGGTCCCGTAGCTTGTGTAGCTGTTCCTGTCCACGTTTGGCACGTGGATCTTGGGCTAGGCAGGTCTGGAGCGTGTTGCTCCTTCTGTACTGTTAACACATAGAGGAAGATGACTGGATTTACACAAAAGGCTCGGTTTGCACACCCACCCCTTATCACCTGTATGACCTTGGGCAAGTCACCTTACTTCTAGGGGCATCATTTGTAAAATATAAATGTTTGCTATCCCATGAATTTCTGAAGTTATTGATAGGGTGGCTTGTCTTATGGTGGTGGCGTCCCATGGATGAAATGGGCAGAGCATCCCACCACGTAGGTCCAGCTGTAGGTGTGGCTTGAGCCCTGCACTCCTTTCTGATGCCTGGGTATGTGTGTGCTGACCTTGTGAGTTCCAAGGCCCTCAGTCTTTGGCATGTTGAGGAAGGGTCTCTTTTTCTTTCTAGGCCTGGTGACCCCCAGTCAGCCCAGGACAAAGCCCGCATGGATAAAGAATACCTGTCTCTCATGGCAGAGTTGGGGGAAGCTCCCGTCCCGGCTTCTGCTGGCTCGGCCTCTGGGCCTGCCACCACACCCCTGGCCAGCGCACCTCGACCTGCTGCCCCCGCCAACAACCCGCCGCCGCCGGTGAGTGCCAGCCATTTCACTTTCTGGCTAGGTTGCTGTCTTCCCTTTGGGTTTGGTGGCAACAAAAGCCAGGTTTTCAGGTTGACACGTGGTGTGGTCACTCGGGCAACATTGTTCTCCCAGCTTGTCAGGTCATTCTGAGGGATAAAGGGATCTTTTGAGGTTCTCTCACCCTTCATTTTGGGTCCGGCTACACAATCTGAGAGAACAATGTTGCCGTCAGCAAATGTAGGCAAGTACGTAGACAGGAAATGCTCTCACATAGTCTCTCATGTCCACTACCCAGAGCCGCCCGCCATGGATGAACTCGGGACCCTCGGAGAATCGTCCATACCATGGAATGCATGGCGGAGGACCTGGTGGTCCTGGCGGTGGACCTCACAACTTTCCCCATCCGTTGCCCAGCCTGACGGGTGGGCATGGCGGTCATCCTATGCAGCACAACCCTAATGGGCCCCCACCCCCCTGGATGCAGCCACCACCACCACCGATGAACCAGGGGCCCCACCCACCTGGGCACCATGGCCCTCCTCCAATGGGTAAGTAAGTGTCAGACCAGAAACCTTGGGGATTTGGGGTAGGCTGGGGGGGCGGTTGTGCCAGGCCACTGTGAGAGTCTCGAGCAGCTCTTGAAGTGACTGGCCTAGTAGAGTGCATTGGGGCGTGCCCTTGGCATTCCATGGGCCTGTCGCTGGGAAGGAGGAGCACAGCTCCCATTTGGTCATGGGGAGCTGATCCCTGGGTGGGGAGGGAAGGGATCAGCTCTTCTAGCAGGCCAGATACGGGGGTTCTCGTGGGTCTTTTGGACCCTCCTCCCTGGAATAACTGGAATCCTGGGCTGCGGCTGTGGCGGTGGCAGTGGGGGCGGGAGTCTTATCTAGCCAGTTCAAATGTCCTGCTAAGTCCCTGCTCTTCCTTCCATCAAGATCAGTACCTGGGAAGTACGCCTGTGGGCTCTGGGGTCTATCGCCTACATCAAGGAAAAGGTAATGGAGCTGGGTGTCCGGCATGGGGGGGTACCCCCCCTCATGTGGCCACTCGCCTCCCCTGCCTCGGGAACTTTGAATGATGGCCGTGCCTGTGGTCTCACCCTCTTCTTCCACCTTGCAGGTATGATGCCGCCTCCGCCTATGGGCATGATGCCGCCACCGCCGCCTCCCAGTGGGCAGCCCCCACCCCCTCCCTCTGGCCCTCTTCCCCCATGGCAGCAGCAGCAGCAGCAGCCTCCGCCTCCCCCGCCGCCCAGCAGCAGTATGGCTTCCAGTACCCCCTTGCCATGGCAGCAAAGTGAGTAGAAGATTCCTGGTTGTGGGGTTGTGGGGCCGTGGCGGGGGTGGGGGGGGTGGTGACAGCCATTGATGATCTCATGGGGGTTGGGGTAGCCGCTAGAGCGGGTGGGTTTAGGAACAAGGTTCCGTGATGTCTGGTGTGGCGTGATTCTGGCATGGCGGACGCTGAGGCCTCAGGGGGCCTGTTTGGGGGCAGGCCTCATTTTCCTTTCTGCTGGACCACTAGTGCAGGCAGCAGGTGTGAGCCTGGGGGGCCTGGGGCAGGGCAAGGATGGCTTCACGTGAAGGGGAGCTCTGGTTGCATGGACTGTGGAAGGAAGTGAGACTGAAGGGCTAGGCTGGGGGTGGGGCGGGCACAAGAGCGACTGGTCTTGAGGTTGAACGTGCCAGTGGTGGCAATGGGGTGGAAGGGGTGTCAGGGCTGGTTCTCGTGTGTTCCCCTCAGCCCTTACTGGGGCCTTGGTGACAAGGGGCTTTTTCTGTGAAGCCCCAGAGACCTTTAGGCTGACCCCAGGGTACATCCTGCCCACCCCCGCCACTCCCCTTCCCCAGGACAGCCTCCCCACCCCCCGATTTAACGCATGCCGAGCAAGGAGCAGGCGCCCCGGCCCCCAAATCCCAAGCCAGCAGCCGCAGAGAGCCGCGGTGTGCCCCCCCGCGCGTGTGACCTTGGGCTTCTTTACCACCCCAGATACGACGACTACCACCACGAGCGCTGGCACAGGGTCCATCCCGCCATGGCAACAGCAGCAGGCGGCTGCCGCAGCTTCTCCAGGAGCCCCTCAGATGCAAGGCAACCCCACTATGGTGCCCCTGCCCCCCGGGGTCCAGCCGCCTCTGCCGCCCGGGGCCCCCCCCCCTCCGCCGCCTCCGCCACCTGGTTCCGCCGGCATGATGTACGCCCCGCCCCCTCCTCCTCCGCCTCCCATGGACCCTTCTAACTTTGTCACCATGATGGGCATGGGGGTGGCGGGCATGCCACCCTTCGGGATGCCTCCAGCTCCCCCACCGCCTCCACCACAGAACTAGACTTGATTTTTTTTTTTAAGAAAATATATATATATTATATATATATTATATATATATAATTGGTCTCGTTAAAACACACGCCGAACCTCACCATATGGAGCCAGACATTGGGACGCACGCATGTTGTATGTGTGTGCACGCACAGGGCTGGGCTGTGCGAGGAAGCCTGTCCCGGGCGACTGAGGACTCGCTTGGGAGCAGGCAGGCGTTAGTAGGGGCGCCAGCTTGGGCTCTCCTGGCACCCCGTAGCATCGAGTCTCTTCTTTGTCTTCTCTCTCCTCACCCAACTCCCCTTGCCCCTCCCCAAATGGGGCCGCCAGGATCCGTCCCCGCGGCGGTGGCCCGCGCCATGCGACTGAGGACTTTCCGCGCCCATTGGTGACCCTTCCGGGGAGACAGCCTCAGCAGCGCCCCTGGTGGACGGGATGGTTCGGCAAAGCAGCCTGACTTATTTTTGTGGACGGAATCGGAACACGCTGGCTCCATATCGTGAATTTTTTATTTTTTTTTTCTTCCTTTTCCTTTGTATTTCCTTTTCTCTTCCTTTCCTCAGACTCCGTCCAAGGAGATGCTGTCCCCGGTCTTCCGCTGCAGTTAGCCCCCTCTTCCTTCTTCCCAGGCCTAGATTGTTGGCTTTCTGTAGTGGAGGGAGCAAATGGAGATTTCCCCCGTGGTGGGCTGGGTGGAAAGGCCCCTGATACAGGGGCCTAGTGAGTGCCAGGCTCCTTCCTTCTTGGCTTGTGGGGGTTTTAGTAAGAGAGCCTGAAGAAGTTGTGTGCAGCCCCTCCCGGACACCAGCGTGGCACCCAGCCAGGGCAGTGGCAGGGCTTGGTCCTATTTGCTCCTCCTGCTGACAGAATATCTTTCTTCAATTTATTTTAGTCCCAAATGTCTGAATGTTTTGTGGTGGGGGGGAGAGGGTCCCCCTCTGCTCCCTCCCTCCCCCCTTCCCTCTTCATGGAGTGATTATGTGGACAATGATGTGTAAAGCGCTCTTTCCTCCTCACCGCTTTCTCTGCAGAAATTTCTTTCGGCCTATTTTTTGGTGTACAATAAATAAAACACTGCATTAAAAGGGGGATGTTCCATTGAGTAAAACAGCAGTGTGGCTTTCTGGGTCTTTTCTTTGTGACTCTCCTTTCCCTTCGAACGTTGCTCTGTCCCCCTAACCAGTGTGGGACCCCACCCCCACGTAGGGTGGGCTTCTCCCTTGGGGCTCACAGAACTGGAAGACTTCCAGTTCTTTAAAGGCCTTCCCCTGGGAGTGGCCAGGCCTTCAAGATTTATGTCTGCAGGCAGGTGGCCACCCACCTGGTAGGCGCTGGGCCTCAGGGAGACATGAGCCGAAAGGTCAGGCTAGCTAATCCGGCCTGTCATGTCAGGCACAGAGCAGCTAAAATTAACACTGCCAAGTGGCTTTTTGCTTCTCCGGGGCCTGGGCAGGGGGGGCAAGGCAGCTGAGTTCCCCTTACCTGGCGCTGCCACCTGGGGAGCATTTCCCAGCTACTGAGTCTGTCATCCTCGACTCTACCCAGTCTGGTGTTTGTGCACCCACACAACAGGGTACAGCCCTGAAAACCACTGGCTCCAGGTGATTGAGAAAGTATCTCCCATTTTCTCTGGGCCCGAGGCTGAACTGCACATCCACCCTCCCTTTGGGGATACCTTGGAAACACCATAGCTACCTGCTGTTGTTGTCCTCCCTTTTGGGCAGCTTGTGTCCCTGGAGGCCCTGGCACAGAGTGAGCACTACACGGGGCAGGGGGCACAGCTTAGGGCCAGAGCCTCTTCTCTGAAGGCTGGCACCTAAAATCCAAAGCCATCCCTTAGCCTGGGAGTGGTCCAGGGACCGCTTTCCCCTCAGTTTAAGCTTTAAAGAGAAGAGGTGGGGGGTGATTCTGAAGCTTCCATTGCCCCCCCTTCTGCCTTGGTTTCCCTGGTGGGCTCACGGGGTGGTTAATTAGCCCTTTGAAGCTCTGGAAGAGCCTGAGTGGTGCTATGTGGGTTTTAGAAACAAAATCAATCAATGGCTTAGCTGCAGCCCGGCTCTCTGGGCTGTCCCTCCCCTGGGGACTGCTCCACTCCTGGGTTCATTCCCTTTGCTTCAGCCATCAGCCTTCATTAAGGATTTGGTGAATAATTAGAATGTTGCCAAGCCAATGAATGGGGAAATTGAGGCAGCCGGAAAATACTGACTCCCTGAGAAGTTCCCTGGTGTCTGTTCCCTCATGTAATGGCAGCGCCAGGAGTAGATTGAGGTTTTCTCTCCCAGACCAGTCCTTCCTGAAATGGGCAGAAGTATGAGATAAGAGGTGAGTGTGGGGCCACCCCCCCAGCTGGAGGAGGACAAGCTCTGAAGTCCATGGTCGGGAAAGGGAGTAGTGAGCTGAAATCACCGGGGAAAGGTCACAGCAAATTTGACACCAAGAGTTGGCCAGGGCTTGGGGAGAAACCTAAGATACGCTCAGAGACAGGTGCCCTATTTCCTGAGTATAGAAGATGGCTAAGCTTTGTGCAGAGGCAGAGTGCTTATGCTTGGCAGGCCCAGGGCCAAGTAAGACCTGCACCATGAGGCACCCGGGGTCTCTCAGGGATGGCAGAGACAGTCTGGGCACTGTACCTGGAGGAGGCCTTCAGGTGGCAGGGTGGGAAAAGCTTTTTGTGGGGCTGAGTGACCTAGAGCAAACACGCCAGTGATAGAGTGGGGCAGAGCAGGAGGGGAATTTGTTATTGGGGCTCTGAGTTTGAATCCACCTGTAGCCACGGACCTTGGAGGTTTTCCTCCTGGGACCTTCAGTCTCAACCTGCGAAACAAAAAGATTGGAGCAGACAGATCCCCACGGTTCCCTTTCTGCTCTAGTTTGGTGCTAGGAGGTCAGAAACCTTCCAGCAGAGCGTGGGGACGACTCGGGGCCCTTTTGGAGGGAGGGTTTGGGGGGGCAGAGGCAGATAGTCCCCACAAAAACTCTGCCTGTGTGAAAAAGGAGCTGAACACAGGCAAAGCTAAATGATCAATAGGAAGTGTTCCGTGACAGGTTGGGCACGGGGTGGAGAGAGTTCTGCAGATTGCTGGTCTCGCTTCATGGAGGATGTGGGGAGGCCCACAGGTCCTCCGCAGGACTTGGGGCGGGGGGGCGGTCCCTTCTCACTGGTCCTCAGTTTACTCATCAGGAAGAAGTCGCAACCTCCGTGGTAGCCAGGAGGCCTTGGATCCATGGGAGGCTGGTTGGATTTTGACTGGCCACAGCCACAAGTTTTAGGTGTTAGGCCTCGGTCCATGTCTACCAGCTTAGATTATTTGAAGTTTTGTCAAAAAAACTCAGACAGGGCTGCATTGCTTTCTGCCAGTTCCACATTTAGGCCAATGTTTTCATTTTAGAGATGGAAAAACTGAGGCCAGGCTAGGGGGAAGGGATTGGGCTCCTCAGACCCTGGGTGAGAACTACTTGTCCTGTGTCCTGAAGGTTTCCCTCCTTTCAGTCTCTTCCATATGGCTGCTGGGTCTAAGGCCTGAGCTTGGCATTGCCCTGCTTAAAAATGGTCAGAACTATTTCCTGGAACATAACAGCCCCCCAGCCTGGTTCTGGTGTGTGCTCTACGCCTAGCTCATTAGGCTGCTAGTTAGCTAGACACGTCGTTTCCTGCCGTGGGTTTGTCAGCCCACACGCCATCCCCCATGTGCCCAGGAGGGGCTGTCCTTGTCACCCCAAGGTGCTCCTGGGGGGCGGGGACCACCCCCAAAAGCTTCCCTGATGGACTGATCCACAGATTTAGAACTGCCAAGTGATTGAATCCAGCCACCCCCACAATCCTGTTACATAGGGAAGAAAAGCAAGGTTCCTTCAAGGCTTTCTCCCTCCTCCAGGCATAGCTGAGAGCGTTTTGTGAACTTCAGAACCTCGGGTCTCATCCTAATTTTTATTTAGTAGGTAACAGAAAGCCAGGGTCACACACAGAGGAGGCGATGAACTCAGGTCCAGCGTTCACTGGAGCCAAGCACGCTGCCCCCTCCAGGAGGCCGCAAGCCCCACGATGCCCAGGGTTTCCTGTCTGTTGTCTGGGTACCTCTGGGGCACTAGCTGGTGCTCAGTAAGTTTGCTGAATTAAGAAGTTTGGGTCTCGGCTCTGCCACTGGTTAATAATGCCACGTGGCTGGCAGTCACTTCTCTCTGGGACTGAGTTTCGCCAACTCAAAAATTAGGCATTTCCATAATTGCTTTGGGAAGATGGCGCAGGCAGAGGGTCTTAAGTCAAGACTGGTAGGAAGGCCTGGGGTGCCTGGGTCGGGGAGGCAGGAGGGATGGCCAGAGGAAACATGGAGCAGGAGCATCAGGGTAGGGTGCTCCCGGAGGAGGGCCCTGAATGGGAGACCCAGAGTGGATTCGCCACCAGGACCTAAGGGTGGAGGTGGCCTGAGGGATTGGTTTTTGCAGTCCCCTCATTTTACAGATGAGGAAACAGGCCCAGCCTCATTCTTGCCTTCCAGCATTCCAGTTCTTCAGCCCTTTTCTTGAACTGTAGAACTTTAAGGCCATAAGGGCCTCAGTTTCTTCTGGTCCCTCAAGCCTCAGCTCCCAAGGGAGGAGACAGAGGCCCTGACTTGATCGAGGACACAGCTGCCTTTGGCCTCCTCAGTCTATCACCCCCTCTCCTGTAGCCCTTAGCCCACCCCATCCTCCAGTCTGAATTCCCCATCACAAAGGCCAAACACACTCTGAAAATAACAGCATTCCAGGGCCCAAAGGGCAAAATGAAGAGGGGTGGGAGTGCCCAGGGGCCACATCCTCGCCCAGAGAGAAGGCCCCCACCTCCCTGGCCATAATGGGACACACAGGCGCCCAGGGAGGCCTGCTTGCTGATAGGTCCCAGGCCTCAGGATCAGGGGCCAGGTGGGTCCAAAGGACTAGGGAGGCTATGAAAGGAACACCTGGGAGCTGAAGGAAGGAGCCCAGAATGGGGGCCTGCAGTGGGTCTCGGGAGGATCGGGGTCTGGTGGCAAGGATGCGTTGGGTAGGCAGGACTACGTTTCCCAGGGATCGCTGCTGTTGGCCGAGGTGGAGGGGAGGCTTGCTGGAGACAGCTGGCTGGGGCCCAGGGTTGTAATCTGACCTCTCCTCTCTGAAGGTCACTGTATTTAAGGCCTTGAGGGACAGCAACAGGGGCTGCTAGGAGAGATTGGGTTTGGGGGTGGGGATGGAGTCGGGGGCTCTCTTTTCAAAACATGTTTTCAGTCAGGGAGATGGACTCTAGCCCTGAGACTTCTGCCCAGCCCTCATCCCCCCCGCCTCCAGAACATGCCACCTCTCGGAGACACGTGCCCCTGAAAAACAGCAGACTCTTTTCCCTTGGAACCAAGTGCCCAATGCAAAAGGCCTTGGGTTCAAGGCTTGCTCTGCCTGGGTCTTCCTGGTTTTATGACTGGTTTAGCCCTTTCCTCCCTCAAAGCCTGTTTTCTCTTCTGAAAAATAGCAATGATAATCCCTGAAGCACCTGCTTCAGGGTGGTCGGGGAAAATGATAACAGTGAAACATTCTCACAGCGTGAGCTATTTAATTTCCCTTCTAGGCAGAATTGTACTGAGTGGCATGGAGAGAACTCAGTTTAGATCCTGACTCTGGCAAGGACTAGCTGGGTGATCCTGGGCAAGTCACTTGAGTCTCAGTTTCCTCATCTGTAAAATGGAGATAAAGCCCCTGTAGGAATTGTTCAGGGTGTCCAGGTCTCCATTCCTGACCTTGACAATTCTGAACCACCAACAGAATTCCAAAGGAAAATCTACCATCATGACCCCAGGCAGCTTGCCCCCTCCCCAGTTCCCTCTCCACCCCTCTGTCAGGTTGGTCCTAAATGGAGCGAATCAGCTGGAGCAGGGGGGGTCCTTGGACCATGGCCTGTGGCTACTTCCCCTGGGTAGGAGGAAATTCCCACACCTGGCCCCTCTCAGGGGCTTTCCTGCCCCTCTGGCCAGGTCAAAAAACCACCAAGTCAGATGGAAAGATCATCTGTTTCCTTCCCTAGGGGAATCAGATGCCCCCTCCCTTCAATCTCTTTGCTCACAGCTGCTCTACTTCCTTGGCTGGGAAGGAGATGGACAGCAGAGAGACCCTTTCCCAAATTTGGGGGCAGGGGAGGAACAGGACCCAGTGGTCTGCCAGTGAGCGGGGTGTTCGAGGCCTGGAGGAGGTGGGTCACGTAGGCTAAGGGATGGTAACGGGCCTGGACGGCTAGGCCCCGGCTGGGTGGAGCTGGCAGCCGACTCTACTGCTCTTCCCCCAAAATAACTCTTGGAAGGAGGTCCGGCACCTACACATTATGCATGCATGAGGGGTGGGGAAGCTTGGCAGCTTGGCAAGCAAAGCCATGCATAATGCATCAGGCCAGGCCTTAAAACCCAGCCCCGGTGCGGGCCACCCTCCACTGCCTGGTTTGGAGGCTCCGGGCAGATTCCACCTGTCCCCGGAAGACTTCTGTCTGCCTGCCTGCCCCAGCCCCCTTCCAGCCTCTGCCAAGCTCACCGTCGCCATGTCTCGGCCCCTGTCGGACCACGAGAAACGCAAGCAGATCAGCGTGCGCGGCCTGGCCGGCGTGGAGAACGTGTCGGAGCTGAAGAAGAACTTCAACCGGCACCTGCACTTTACCCTGGTCAAGGACCGCAATGTGGCCACGCCCCGAGACTACTACTTTGCCCTGGCCCACACTGTGCGCGACCACCTGGTGGGCCGCTGGATCCGCACCCAGCAGCATTACTACGAGAAGGACCCCAAGGTGGCTGGGGACTCCAGGGGCCGGGCCGGGAGGGTAAGGGGTGTGGGAGGGGGGACACTTGGGCTCCCAAATAGGCAGGAGCAGAGGCTTAGGGAAGCCTTAGACAAGACGGCCCGTTTCTAGACTGTCCAAGACCTCCTCCAGAGTGGGACACTGAGGTTCAGAGAGATTTGGGGGGCACAGTGTGTCAGAGCTGGAAGGGGACCTTGGGGAGCCTTGGGACCAGCTCCCTCCCCAAAGATGAGAGAGACTTGCCCAAGGTCACACAACTGGGTCTTCTCTCCGGGCCTCAGTTTCTTCAGGGAGTTGCACTGGATGGCCTTGAAGGTCTCCCCCAGCTTTGAGCTGCTGTGCCCTATGGTTCTATTTCATCACCCCTCCAGGAGCCTCAGTTTCCCTTCTGTGAAATGAGGGGGTTTGGACCGGACGGCCTTGAAGGCCATTTCCAGCTCCAGCATCCCACGGCTCTATCAGCCCTCTGGGGCGACGGGTGGCACAGGGCAGCGTGCCAGGGCACAGACCTAGGGCAGGAGGGGAGTGGGAGAGCGAGATCTGGACCATGAGACCCGGGGGTCTAACACGGTAGAGACTAGAGAGACGTGGGCCCAGGAGACGGGACCCCGGGGGCCAGCCTCAACGTTGGGGGGGGG